CTAATTTGATCTCCATGGTTACTGTTCCCAGGTGAGACGGGAGAACAGGTGGAAACTGAGCTGCTCTGTGAGATAGTGAGTGAAGGGCCTGAGACAAAGGAAGAAGAAACAGGAGAAGCTGTGGATGGTGCAGCAGCAGCAGCGGCAGAGATGGGTTGTTACCAGCTGAAATCAGCAGTGTAGCGTAGGGTGAAAGCACATTCCAGAGCCAACACGATCACGTGGTGGGAGTGAAAGGACACAGGCCAAATACAGCGAGTTAAAAGTGTCAGGTCATAGAATTCTTTTTCCCGCCGATTCCCAAATTATGTTCCCATTTCTCCAGGGGAGAGTTTCAGTGATAAAAGTTCTCATCACCCTGCCCAGTGTTCATTGGGGTCTTATGTCATTTATTGTGACTCCATCACATAACACCAGCTTCCTTTGGGTATTTACCTGCCTAAGGTGGCTGTGGTTACCAGTGGTATTGCCAGAACCTGGAAAAGGAAGGGCAGGCAGTGCAGATACCCCCTTCCCTTCCACCAGCAAACGTTATTGCAGGAGTTGAAGACCAGATCTTCTCCCTGCTCTGCTGAGTGTGCACCAGTGCTCCAGACTAGTGAGTATGGTAATTCAGAAGGGAACATCTTCAGCGGGAAGAGGAGGATATCTTACACCTGGGCCTTTCACAGCTTTCAGGCAAATTTCTTGCAACCGTTTGAGAGGGTTTTGGTGCCTTCCCAGTGCTAATACATGCACTAGCCTTTGAGCTGTTGAGTAAAAGGGGTGAGGGCTCCCTTAAACAGATAAGGAAGGCATGTTACCTCTGCCTTCCATCCTGCTGGTATGCCGTGAAGCGACAGAGTTGACTTGGTAGGATATAAATGGGAAACACGAAGCTTGGAGGTTCTCATGAGGCACAAGTGTTGCTGGACAGATCCAGAAAGAGGCATTAGGAAGGGTCTGCAGGGACAAGTCCTTCCTCTAAGTGGTGGAGGAAAGAGGTCCTTGTAAAACTCTTCTCAGAGTGGAGAGACGTTGAATATCTGCAGGGGTGGCCTTGCAGAGAGCAGCCATGTAAGAGATGCTGAAACGAGAAGAACTGCAGGAAAAAAAAACCCACAAAGATCCACTGTCCTGCAAGGCAGCTCGGAGCAGCAGCCTATCTCACTTGGGCCTGATTGCACTGCTAGGGCTTCCTGTGTACCATGCCCAAGACCTTAGCTCTCCACAAAACTCACAGGCAAGAGGGTTGTGTGATGAGTTTTGCACTAAGCATTAGGTAAGCTTGTTCTGTCTTGTTTTAATTTCATTGAATTGCAGAACATCTCACTTGGGCCTGATTGCACTGCTAGGGCTTCCTGTGTACCATGCCCAAGACCTTAGCTCTCCACAAAACTCACAGGCAAGAGGGTTGTGTGATGAGTTTTGCACTAAGCATTAGGTAAGCTTGTTCTGTCTTGTTTTAATTGCACTGACTGCAAGCCAATATGCCACACTTGTGCTAGAGGATTAAGGAAAATGTTTTTCACCATGAGCACTACAGCCTGGAAGATTAATATAATGCTGGTCAAAAGGTTGGGCACGGCATATGTGCCGATAGCACCTTGACATTAGTCAAGTGGAATTAGATAAGCAGTGATTTAAACAAACAAACAAAAAACCCCACTCACTTCCCTGCCACTTCTTAGCTGTTTGACAGTTGGTCCTGGCAGTCTACAAATTAGACCTACATATTGTTGCTTTTAAGCCAACCTGTGAAAACAAGCTGTTGTTGGCTGTTGGCAACTGCTCTTTTGTCTTCAGTGTTATGCAGTATAGCTTTGCTTCTGAGCTACAGAAAGTTTTATTAAGTTAGTTTGTTTGTTTCTAATCTTTCATATGGGAACTTTTTAAGAGGGTCAAAATTAGAGGACTATTTGCTACTAATTCAGGACAGCACTTAATTTTCTTTTGGGAAACCTCAAACAACAGAATCTTCTTCCTGAAGAGTAAGAGATTTCATCAGCTGATTGTTACAGCTTTAATGGAATGAAATTCCTGCATTAGCCTGCCTTGACAATATTCTTCACAATAGTATTTCTAAGAAAGTAAAATAAGCAGCCCTGCTTTTATTTCATATGCATTTCAAATGATAGGAGCATACTAATATAGACAACTCAGTGAACAGCTGTGGGCAAGAAAGGTTAGGAATGGAACAGTGGCCATTCCAGGGGCTGTTGTGTAACAGAGTAATTCTTCCATGTGAAAGGATGTCGAAGAACTAAAGCAAGATTCCGGGCAGGAATGTAAGAATGCTAGGGGGAATGGAAAAATTCTTACATGAAGAGAAATCAAAAATATTCAAATTCTTGTCTCTGAGGCAATACGAGTAAACGGATATTAGTTGATTGCTGTGCAAAATAAACAGTGCTCTAAAGTAGCTGAGTTTATCTCTGAAAAAGGGCATACTCCATTACACTAAAAGTACAGTGAATTAAGATCACTAGAGGAAACTTTTATTCCCACACAATATTAGCATTAGTCTTGCAAAGTAACTTTCAGACTCCTTTTTCACAGAGAGGCAGTTTGGCTTGTCTCCTGTGCCTGCTGCTGATGGTCAAGTCACATTGGCCACAGGGGTTGGGAGAAATTCCTGAGACATTGCCACAGAATCACCGAGTGGTTGGAGAAGGGACCTCTGGAGATCATCTGGTCCATCCCCACTGCTCAAACAGTCACCTAGAGCAGGTTGTCCAAAACCTGTGTCTGGTCAGGTTTGAATATCTCCTTGCAATATCTCCAGTATCATCCTTGGAATATCTCCAAGGATGGAGAGTCCATAATCTCTCTGGGTAGCCTATGCCAGTGTTCAATCACCCTTACAGCAAAAACGTTTTTCTTATCTTTAAATGCCATTTCCTATGTTTCATTTTGTGCCTGTTGCCTCATATCTGTTTATGAATAAGATTTAATATCTGCCTCTGTGTCAAACGTGACTGAAATAATCTAGTGGCTTTGAAAGATGTTAAGAGAAAAAGCAGCAAGATGGAGAGGAGCATGAGACCATTGCAGTACAACCAGAGTCTACACAAGTGGTGTTAAAGTCTGTGAGAGGGAAGTTTGTCCGTGAATGGGGTGGAGGAAGAGGAGGCAGAGGTGGCTGATGAACGTCCTCAAGTTCACACAGAATGTCCTTACAGAGCCTGCAGATGAGCAGAGAGCCCCTGAGTTTGTGATATTTCCAGGGAACTTTCATATTCCTATAGGATATATTGAATATGAATTTGTATCCCAATTTAACTTTTTTTTTTTTTTTTTTTCATTTCAGAGACAGCTAATGAGGAGCATTAGAAGTTATGTGTATATGAATATCCTCTTCTTGGGCCTGCTCTTCTGTCTTCATGAACATTTCTATTTTCCCAACCCAGTAAAATTAAGAAGTTTTTATGAACTTTGCCACAAATGTAAGAGGCAGAAAAAGTTTTATATACTATATATTTTTGAGGTCAAGCTGCCAGACTTCAAGTGTTTGAAATGCCTGAGCTGTCACCTCCCTGCCTCAGAGTGCCTTGTGTCCATGCTCACGCGGTGGGAAAATTTTCTAATAGCAGTATATTCATTCTGTTTTCATTTGGGACTTTTTCCAAGCTCAGATAATTAACTTAAAACCTGAGTAGGCACCTTTGAAACCTTCAATCAGCATTATATAGGATAAAAAAAAAAAAAAAGTAGTGTAGCTTTTTTTTTTTTTAAATAGTAATGTGAGTAAAGTCAGAAATGAAAATCTTGGTGCTGTGAGCTTTTATATCCACGGATAATTTCTCTGAAGGCCTGGGTGACTGGTGTATGGAGGAATGGAAGAGAGAACTGGTTTGGGCTGTAATTAAATGCAGTGGTCATTTCTTCAGAAAATGGAACATACACAGGGTGTAATATCCAGTAACCACTGGGTGTCTTCTGCCAACCTCTGTTTGAAAGAAGAGTAGTATAATTTATATGATAATTTTTGCAAAACAGAGAGAAGATGCTTAACTATGAGCAAGTTCCTTTATTCTTATAAATTCTGGCACACTTTTAAAGATAACTTCACAGCTGTTAACATTCCCGCTGACTAACAAGTTGTCTTTAGTCACAGTCGCACTGCACACATGCGGCTTCTACAACAGATTTCTAACCAGAGACATCAGCCTGTTCTCAAAGAAGAGCTAATCTATTGTACTTCCCTGTCAGCCTGTTCTCCAGAAAAAGCAGGCTGTTAGGGACTTCCTTGGTGTTTTCCATTATGCCGAATAATCATTTTGTAGGTGAAGTTGAATGGTAAAGCCTTCAAAGATGGTTTTTTTCTGTGAAAACAGGCCCTAAAGATAATTGGTCTTAAAGATGCAATTGAGATTAAAATTTTGTTCTGATGGTGAATGTTGCAAAGGGACCATATATTATTATTAGCAACTGCCTTTACAATATTCTCTGGCATAAGAAAGTAGAATACTGCAATCAGAGAGAAAGGGTCAATTGCCAAAGGCCAAGCATTCCTTAGCCTTCTTATTTTTCAATTTTATTAGGTTCACTGTATAAAAAGAACTTCACAAAGTTTATTACTACTATGAGCAAATTACAAAAATCCCCTCTAATAACTAACTTTCCTGCTGCATGTGGGCATGTGACTCCAGTTGACTTTGATTTGTATTAAATAATTTAATTTATATCTCTGGCTTATCAGGTTTTTACTTTATCTGTTATTCTTTGGCTGTATCACTGTATCTTTGGCTACATCATCATATCTAAGAGTTTCTGCTTATCGTCAGTCTGTTCAGTCCAAGTACTTCTCAGCTTTATTTAAGGTTGCTTATTAATGTTGCCTGTAGGACAGAACCATAAACTTTTATAATCAAAATGCACAATTTTTCATAGATTTTGGGTAAGTAGATACTGCTTTTTTTTTTTTTTCTCCCTTTTGTTGCTGTAGTTAAGATAGGGCCCCGGGCTGATAGAGGGTAAGAGCTACACATAGAGCTGGGGTCCTTGATGACCCAGGAACTTCACCCTTGGCCACTGGTGTCCTTGGTAAACTGGGGATTCAGAGAAGACACCAGCCCCTGTGCCAGCACCATCCTGCTCCCAGTGAAGGCAGCAGGACAGTCAGGGGAGCTGCACTCGCTGTCTCTAAGCTGGGTGTCAGAACAAGAGTTATGGTTTGACCAGCTATATTGACCAGTTGTGAAGTATAAACCAGTTCCATGACAGAGCTAGTACTGACAGCAGCAGCAGAGATTGCCCTTGGAAAGCAAACACCACTTTTTGCTACAAGGGACCTCTCCACGCTGCAGAGCCACTGCTGTTACCCACAAGGCAAGGGACACTGCACTTTCATCTCGGCATT